AGGTAGTGTCTTAATATTAGAAATATCAAAACCAAAATCCTGCTGTCGGTTGTAGGTAGCTTTTGTTATAATCTTCATCATTACCACTTCAATCAAGAAAAAGTCACAGAACGTAAAACCATACATTTCCCTTTTTAAATGTCTGTTTATGTATTACTTGAAAGAAAGAGATAAATTGTGTTAGTGCGATTCAAGAGGGGCTGGTAGGCATATATATTTATATAAACTCATGATACTAAACATGTTGGCATTAGTTGTCTTACAACTACAGTGTGTAAAGAAGTATAATTCTCAAGGCAGGTGTTATAAAAACATGTCTACATTTTCCAAAGCTTTGTGGATAGAATGCTCAAGTTCTACTACAACAATGATGCAGAGGTCAAGAAAGACACTGAACTGCAGAAATGGATTTCGGACATTTTTGAGCATGGATTTCTTTCCCAAGAATCCACTGGTGAGCTTTAAGAATAGCAGAATATACATCATAATCAATGTGCACATGTATGTGCCATTATGTTATGATTGTTTAAACTGTTAGGCATCTTTTAGTAAAGCATTTACTTCCTTCTGGTTCTCAGGGATCCCACAGAGATTCAACACTGTGAAAGAGTTGGTGAAGTTTGTCACCATGGTGATCTTCACCTGCTCAGGACAGCATTCAGCTGTGAACTCTGGACAGGTGAAGCCTCTTAATATACCCCAATTATTATGTATTTGTGTGGAATGGGTAAATGAGGTTTTGTAGTTTCTTTACCAAAAAGAGAGTTACATTTTTTTTTTTAGTTTATTAGGATCCCCATTAGCTGGTGCATAACAACAGCTAATCTTCCTGGGGTCCACAAATAACATAAAACATGACATTCGACAGCACATTACATGACATTAAAAAGAGTAAACGACCATGTTAGCAGGTCTGGGAGGCTGCACGTTGGTTCAAATATGCTTCAGATACTCACAACACGCAGAATTTTCAAAGGTATAATTTTTACTAGGATCTAAATCTTAGTTTTTAATGTAAGCTTATAGGCACAGATACAGAGTAAAGCTGAGACTGATGGGAATATCATTAGGTCTGCAGGTCATGAATCAAAGTATTTGACAACTAAAACATTTTATATAAAGGTGGTCCTGGATATGAAAGGTATCACGTCCATCCTGAGGTCAAGATGAATATCTGAACTTAATTGAATCGCAACAGAAGTCAATAAGATCCTTTGGGCTGTGCAGATGTTGATTCCAATCAAAATGTCATGGCAATACATCGAATAGCTGTTGAAGTAGTTTAGTTGGCTCAAAGTAGTGGACACACTGACCAACAAAGTGGGATGGTGTGGCTTCAAAAAGTATTATTCAGTCTTCTGCCAATCTTTTATTTATTGCAGTATGACTATGGTGGCTGGATGCCCAACAGTCCCTCCACAATGCAACTTCCTCCTCCAACCAGAAAGGGGAAAACAAATCAGGACACGATGCTGCAGACATTGCCCAACAAGGGTGTAACAGCTAACGCAATGTCTGCTTTGTGGCTACTCAGCAAATCATCGTCGGACTACGTAAGATTAAGATCATGATTTGTGTATATTTTGTTCAAATGTGATTAATCGTCTTTTAGCTACTGAAAATTGTGTACACTTCCCACAACGGCAGTATATCTTACCCATAGTCTTTGATTGATAAACATTTGAATGTTAGTGGGAAAAAGTGTATATGTGTATAACAATGTGTCATTGATGTCATCAGGTCCCTCTTGGCCAGTACCCAAATGCCCATTTCAACGAGTCGAATCCCTGCGAGCAGATAAAATACTTTCAAGGAATGCTTCAAGCGTTAAGTGCAAACATCAAAATCAGAAACTTGCTCCTGGAGGTCCCATACACATACATGGATCCAGAAAAGGTAGAAAATAGTGTGGCTATTTGAATATCAGAAGGTGTATGTTCCCGAGGTGCTGGCCAAATTCACCTTCATATTAACCAAAGTAGAAAAGGGAAAAATAATTTTGATCATTGAGTGATGATCTGGGAAATGTTTTAACAGCCTGATTGATAAAGCAGAAAATGTACAGTTTTAAATCATAATTGATAGTTATTTCTTCTTATTAGCCCATTAATCAATACACAGGGTATCTTAACAAAATAAATAGCTCCTGGAAAAATATTATTTTGCATCACAATTGTAAGACTTAAATAGACTGTGCCTTATTACTTATGGTAATAATGAAAAGATAAATATTTGTAGAGGGAATTTTGTTTTGCCATATTCACTACATGCCGTGTAATGTATCTGTATGTATAAAAAGAATAGTTAGTGAGAAGTGTATTTCTTATGATATCCATCTTTCATGGACGAAATGGGACAATTCCAACTTGTTTGTTTAAACTTGTATGTGATATGGAAAATGTAATAAACATGGTGTGGGTCATCTGAATATAAAAGTCATGTGGTGGATTTTTGGTTCCCGAGAGAGGCAACTTGGTTTAATTACTTATACTTATTTATATGATTAATAATGATATTAAATATATTAATTAACTTTTTTTTGTAATGATTATTAATTCCTTCTGATAGTCCTTTTAGTTCCCTTATTGAGCAAATGACCCTACTGTGCACTTGAAGCACAGCTGAAGTAAGAAACAATGCAAAGAGTGCAAATACAAAATATATAAATAAGGTACCATTATTGCACATAATGCATGTCCCATATTATCCCGTAAAATAAAATAATAAAATAAAAGTGTGAGTGATTAGCAAATGATGGAGAGGGTGACGGTTATTGTCACATGCTGCAACATGTTGTGCAGCATCCTCTTTTAAGACAACACAAACATATAATCAAGCTCCTCCCTCAGGAGCCCAATATCCTAGAGCAGTGGTTCTCAAACTTTTTTCACTCATGTACCCCCTTTGAAAAAAAAATTCAGCCAAGTACCCCCTGATCAGCGCAAAAACTATTTGTTAAGGAAAAAAAGCCTATATAAAGAGGTACAGTGCAGCGCTGCACCATCAGTGTCTGATTTATTAAAACAACAACCTTGTAACTGAGAAGCACTTAAATGCTACACTTCAAATGTTTACAATCCATCACTAAATTCATGGCAAACCAATTTTAACATCATGCAATAACACTAAGACGACATTAGTTGCATTGAACTGATCTTTTTAATAAGTTGTACTTACAATGTAGTGAGAAACATGGGCTCGTGCTTCACTGAGGATCTTTGTCATTCTGACAGGGAGGAAAACTGCAGTTATTACACTTCGCGTTTTGAAATATGTGTAACTCTGTTCATATAAAACCCACACTGCTCAAACTTTGTTACTTTTCCTAAAATTGGTATATTTATTTATTTATTTATTTTGGGGCGTGGGGAATGAAGAGAAAACATATAGTAGCATTTTATGAGCATGGGATTTTGACCCCTCATATAAACATATGTATAATGCTGCGCTATAATTTGCGGCCACACGCCGTTGCCAAGCAACGCTTATTGTTTAGGTGTCCTTTGATAAGCAGGCAGTCATATCATTAACTAGAACTAGCTAGATCTGATAGATTTGGACATAAACGCGAGTGAAGTTTTCCCCCCTGATCCCATCGGAAGCGTCTGCGCTGCGGCTGCGCCGCGACCTCCTCCTGCGTTACGGCCCGTCCACACAGCGGCGTGCGTTGAAGCTTCCAACGCTTCTGCCCATTCACTTTGAATGGGGTGACGTCACTTTTAGCCGAACTGCATCGTGGGAAGCGACGCGGAGCGTTGCTGGCGTGGCTCGCTGCAAAAGTTGAGCAATGTTCAACTTTTGACGCCTCGGCAGAAGCGTCAGCCAATCGAATCATATGCCAGTACAAGCTCTAGCCAATCAAACCGCTGCTTGTGTGTCAGGGGCGGGAGATTGGTTGTTGGTCGAGTGTCAGACACGCCCGCCGGCAAGCGTCAATGCACGCCGCTGTGTGGACGGGCCGTCATAACCCACCAGGCGCGTTTCAAAACGTTGCAGAAGCGGAGCGTCGTGTGTGCAGCCTCGCAGTTGTTGGATGAACGTTCCACTTCCTGCCTGCGCCGCGCTGCGCCGCGTCAAAAATAGGATTCATCCTATATTTTAGAAATTCCTTGCGGCGAGGAGCTTCTGGGACGCTTCGAGCCGCGGCGCAGCGTGGCGCAGCGGGTCTGGTGGAATAGCACCCATTGACTAGAGTGGCCGCGATCGCTAAAAAACGCCGCAGCGCAACGCAGCGCAACGCAGCGCAACGCAGCGCAGACGCTCCTGGTGGGATATCATTAGGGGGTAACTGGACGCGAGAGAGAGATCAGAGATCCGATCAGCTGCTGCATGATCACAGCTCCGGGTAGAACATCCTCCACACTCAGCCACTGTAGACATTGAAAGTGGACTCGGCAGTGATTTACAACAACAACAAATGCACTTATTCACAAGTATTTTTTTTTCTGATTAATAATCCGAGGGTTTATTTGCAATTTAAAGATTTTAATCAATGACTTTTTGAAGTTCCTTTTTGTTCAACATGTTTATTAACAGGTTATTTGTTTAACTGTCTTAACACAAGATAACATATGAACAAGAAGATACTCTTTTCCTCTTGTAGCTGTACTTAAATCAGGGTTTTAAATTGTTTGACTGATAGAGATCATGCAATTTTATTATTTGTTTATTGATTGTTATGAACCTGCCTGAGGACCACAGATGGAAATTAGCTATTAGTTTCTATAATCTGGCAAATTGCATCTCTTATCTTTGCTGAGATTAATGTATGTGTATGCATGGTCCTTCTATAAATAAATACATATATATATCACTCTTAACCATTTTATGTTGTTCCATTTTTATTTTATGTGAAAGTTTGTCTGTTGCCTATAATGTTGCTAATTGTTGTTGCTGGTCTTCAGCTTGTGTGTAAACTTGATCGACAAAGACAGTAGGTGGAAGAGTTTGTGCAGTTCACACTCCAGACCAGCAGGTGGCGGTAATGCGCTTCGCGTTATGTGTCATCCGCCTTGGAAACGGAAGTAAAGCAACGTACACAACGCTGGTGGAGATCACACGTGGGTAAGCAAGTTTATGAGAGTAATGTTGAGTAGTCAACTTAATTAGAAACATGTCGAAGAGACAGGCAGCTATGTTGGAAGCAAATACCGTTTGTGAAGTGGATCTCGGTGAGGAGGAGACCCAGGATCCTCCGCCGGAGACCAGGCGGACCCGCAGCGGCCGCAAAGTGCGCACTCCTGCCGCGCTGCTGGACTCCATGGCCTCGGTGAGGACTCCCACCCGGAGGACCAGGAGATCCGTCCTGCACGAGATGCCGGCTGAGGAGGAGAAAGACACGGAGAATTCAGTGCCGATACTCGAGAGTGTGGCCGAGGACAAGCTCCCTATGTCTACCGAACCGGGTACCGTGCCCGCAGAGCCGCACACCGAGGCTGCAGCAGATACAACCGGAGCCGCTGTTATTAACGGAGACAGCTGTCTGTCTAGGCCTGCACCGGCAGAAACGGCACCCAGGAGCTCAGAAACCGTCCCGGCGAAGAAGCCTCGTTTGGGTTCAAGTGGTAAACTAACTCCGGCCATTCCGCTGGGGAAACCCGCATCTGGGAGGGTGTGGAAAGACCGCAACAAGCAGAGGTGAGCATAACCCTATAACTGTGGCTAACTGTATAAGTAAATAAGAGCTGAAAATTACTAAAGTGCTGTGATTAAGTTGTTTTTAGTTACTTAAGATTGTTCATACACAACATGTGATCAGTTTATGATGCGTCACTACAGCTTATACTTTCCAACAGTGAATACACATGTGAAAAACTACACTCTTGTCCCGCTTACATATTCATATTGGGACTGTCAGCCTGCTTTTTAATTGTTCTTAAATAGTTTTTTATGCAAGTATATTTTTGCATGGATGACTTGTAATGCAGTAGTTCTCGCAGCTTCTCTTTTCTAACAAATAGTTTGAATACTTTACAACTAGCACGGGTAACCATTACACAGATGTTCCTCTTATATGAATCCCTTTTTAAATTAGATGGACATGATGAATAACGTTGTTTCCTTAGCAGCAAGTATCCCATTTGTTGTGTTGACATTTTAATTTTAATGAGATAACATCATTTAAATAATTGTGTTATTGTAAAGCAGTTGGGGTTCAAACTAAATGTAACACAAATGAAGGTTGGTTCATTTCCCTGAATGTAAATGGATATCGTAGAGATTCTTTTAAACGGAGTAAATAAGAAAACAGGGAAGATGTGTTCCACACAAAGAAATGTATGAAACATATTTTTTAATGAATTGCATTCAGCACTCAACAGACTCAGCTGTTAGTGCTGTTGTAGTTCTTTAGCTTAATTTACCATACGAGAAATGACTCGAGTTGGTATTAAAAATGTAGATCAGTGCATTTCCACTTTACGGGGGTTACTTTACGAGATGTGATTTCCTCCCTTAGGTTCTCCGCACTGTTAAGAGATAAACCGTTGTGCTCTTCATGGGAAAAGAAGATGGCAGCCAAGCGGGAGAAGGAGCAGGTGAAACAGTACACTTCGCAGCTTAAAGACGAGAAAATCAAACAGAAAGAGGTAAGCTAAAGTCATGTAATAATGTAAACTTTGTAATGTTGGTCTTTGCAAGTTTTTTGATGTATTCTATATTTCCTGGCTCTATAGGATAAGAGAAAACGGAGAGAAGACAACTTGAAACGTCGTGCAGAGAACGAACGCAAATCAGAGATTGTTGAAGTGGTATGTCAACTGTTCACACTAAACTTTCTAGGATACTTCACACAATTTAAGATGACACCCTAACACCACGCAGGCCTGTTGTACACAAGTTGTGTACAGAATAACACTGTTATATTATGAAGACTGAAGTATTCTAAATTGTGGGCTTACAGTCATAACCCCACAGTTGCTTTATTTATTTTATGATATAATGCTTCGCTATAGCTTATAGGACCAGTTCAGAGTGGATGATAAAGTACGTGATCAACTGAAGAGCTTGTTCTGTCCAGCATTATGTTGCAAGCTTCCTATTATTGTAATTAAAGCATTGAATTGTAACTTTAAGTTAAATATCCTATTTTACACATTTAAGCCACCTTACATATATATAGAACACTCTTCAAAGTGTGATGCAATGCAACAGCTAAATAGGTGAATTGGCTGTTATTATTAGAAACAAACACACACTCTTTCTATTGGATATGTAACCTTCTTTTTTTTTTTACTCTTATCTTATTTTTGTAATCACAGATCAAGAACACAGCAAAGATCAAGAGGATGAAGAAGAAACAGCTGAGGAGAATCGAGAAGAGAGACACTCTGACTCTGCTGCAGAAGTCTCAGAAGCAGAGTGGGAACCCCAAAGGTGGGAAACCCAAAGGGCGAAAAGGTCCCAAAGTTGCCAAAGATTCAACCAAGGCTGAGATAATAAAAACATAACTGTTCAATACTTTGCCTACATGTTTTACACCTGGGAGGACCTATTTTCACATGGACCCAATGAAAGCTTTCTAAAGAGAGATGTAATACTGAGTCAAAAATAAGGATGCACAATTAGTGTGTCACATGGGCTCTGAGGAGATCAACAGTTAAGATTCACCTTTGTTTGTATTGTTTCCTTTTATTGATGTACCTATTTTCAATAAAAATTGAATCATTATTGCTCTTTCAATTATTTGGAGTAATCTTTTTTAACATCAATGTAGGTATATAGGAGTTTTAAATGTATACCATTAGCACACAAGTGGAATAAGTGTTTTTGCATTTAAGTTGAGATGCTCTGAGATTTTTTTTTTTATGTTAAACATAATTATGACTTGGGCATAGTTAATCCCCTTATCTCCCCTCATAAGAGTTTATAAGCTTCATAAAGCAATATTGTTTATTTCATATTATATCCAATATATCACTCCATATTACCATAAAACAGAGCTGTGGCCATTTTGGGCAATCCAGTAATTACTGAAAGGAAAGACTATCTTAACTAAACTGAAATACAATCTTACAGTTTCAGAGAACTTCTGAAAGGACTATTTGGTTTTAATGTCAATAAGGTCAAGGATTAACTTTGAAACATTTATCATCTTAGTGTTTTGAATAATGCTTGGATCTTTTCTATTAGAGCAGAAACGATTGATAAATTGTGCCAAAAGATCAACTTTATTTTCATCAACAAATGCCACATTTAACCAGCTGCTCAAATTGGAATCTTTGAGGCTCTTCTTATACGATAGTGAACTTCAAATATTTAAGTTTGGGGCTATTAGTCTGACAAATTTGAAAGTGTCCACAATTATAATTGGCAGTTTTCACCATGTTTCTATACTAAAATGATTTAGTTCATTGTTATAGCATCACCTGAGATGTCAGTGTTGGGTGAGACCCTTTGTCTTATGCCAGACGCTGTTTATTCTTCAATGGGTTAAGCAAGAGGCTTGTCATCAGACAGGTGACTAAAGTAATGAAACTGTTAAAAGAATAACAGTGTAGTAAATCTACAACCTATAAACAAATACAATAACTCATAAAAGCCACCCTTATCTCTTCAAAGATATCAGTAAAATGTGTTTAGGTCACAGTGAGCTTTGACCACCCTCAAGTTTATCAATATGGCTATTTGTGCGACATTTTAAAACGTTTCCTCAAAACATTCTTGCCTACAGTGACATAAAGTGAGGCAGTTTGACACCAACTGAGTGGTGAGAGAAGTATTCAGATTATTATATTATATAAAAAGGTACCAACATCACACTGCAGAAATAATGCATTGAAAATGTTACTTTAGTAAAAGTTTGCAAGTATAATCAAGAACATCATATTAAAGTAATATAACTCAATGCAGGCACTCATGCCTTAATGTTACTGTTGTCATTGGTTTGAGAGCATTTTTAACTATTTTGCAACCGAAGATTTCTATTAAACATATTATTTTTCTTGCCCTTTTTTTTACCCAGAGCCCTAAATAACATGTTTTCCTTGTTTTGTCCAACCAATACTTCACACCTCAGAATTATGAAATATAATTTAAGGGGAAAAAGTAAATCCTCACAGTTGTGCTGACTGTTACTATATATACTGTTGGAGAAAGTGATTGAACAAAAAAAATTCTTCTGTTCATGTTTTGTTGGCAAACATCTTAATTTGTAAAGTAACTAGTACTTTTGAATTGTAGTAGAGTAGAACTTTACACTGGCACTAAAATAAAATACTTACGTAAAGTAGCTACAGTAACCTCTAATTTGTATTCAATACTTGAGAAAATAGGTCACATTTCACCAGTGGTTATTGATCATTAAGAGGCATAAAAGGTTGACTCACATGAGTAGATAAATGAACATTGGAGCGGTTAAACTGAATAATAATGTAAACTTTGGCAATAGGTTAGTTTTACTCTGACCTCTTACAACACACTGGTGGTATCAACTGTGAAATATAACGTTGTCACACAGCATCTAAATGAATGCATCACAAGACTCAGGTTTCAGGGGAAAATACTGTTTTCTATGTTCCCTTTAAATAGCAGAGTCAATTTGGAGAACAGGTTGCATACAAAGACACTTTGCTTTTCCCTCACCTTTCTCATTCCAAGTACTTTGAATCATGCCCGGCGCCGTGGGAGGGCCAGGCCCTCCCATTTGACATTCCTGCCCTCCCCCAATAAACACGTTTTTTATTATTTATAAAAATTAAAAAATATATATATTTTATTTTTTAAATTATAAATAAACTGTGAACTTTTATGCTACGATGTATGTGATGTCAGAACAAAACAAAAAAATCGCAGGCTACGTCAAATAAATGCATGTGTCTGTTGTGATTTGTGATTCGTCCCCATTTAGACCAATCACAGCGTCACACTCTGCCGCCTATTCTGGATTTGTTTATTGTTTATTGTGCATTCTGTAGACTCCCATTTCTGTTTGAATTACAAAATGGACATCAGAAATCGGCTTAAAAGGTCTAAGGATTTATTAAAACGAAATAGCGATGAAATAACTGCAGCCGATGGTGCTGCTGGGGACCCTGCACCTGCCGTTGCAGCAGCACGCCTTAATGTCACAAGCTTGACCTCGGCAAACCCCGGGGTTGAGTTAGCGATAATCTTGGGGTTAATAAACCCAAGCAGGTGAAGCTGGATCGTTATCCAGGGAGATTATTTTCAGGAAAGAAGCACACTTTTGCCGCTGCATGGTACACAACAGACCATGGCTTGAAGATTCGTTAAAAGCAGACGCAGCCTTTTGATTCCCCTGTAGACAGTTTAAAGTGAATACGTCTTCATCTGATGCGGCTTTTACTGTCAAAGGTTTTTGCGACTGGAAACACACATTACAGGCTGATAAAGGACTGCTAATGCATGCCGCATCAAAAGAACACATTTCATGTGAGAGTTTGTGGAGAGAGAGAGACAGATACGCGAGGAAACAAATAAGGAAATTAGAACTTTGGTGCAGATCAGCCGTTATTACGTGTCAGCTGTCGTTGATATTATAGCTTTTTTAGCTGTCAACCAACTCCCTCTCAGAGGTGACTCGATTCACTCCACAGCATGTCTGAGTGCAGTGCATAGGAACATAAACCATGCCCAAGGCGGGCTAAACTGTTCATCGTCTCCGTCTCTACTATTTCTCTCCGAGTGCAGCGATGAGGAAGCTGCCATCCGTAACCAGTGTGCCTTGCTCGTGATTTACCAGTATCTGTGCTGCCACGCACACAATGTTTCAAAGTGGTTGCTATGTTGCCCTTTATTTATGTATGTTTGCGATAAGTGTGCGTCTTTACGCAATGCTGTTGGCCTTGCTATTTGATATATATTGTGCCGAATGACATCCACTATGTCTTTGTGTCACACGGAGGAACAACTCCTTCATTGCCATGCCAACTTGTTTGCTTTTAAAATCCTTTTTGTTGCAGTAGAACAAACTGACATGTTTAAAAAATGCACAGTTAAACAAAGCAATTAGTTACACTGAGGTGACCACTGTTAAAGGAATGATCCCTCTTCAAATGCTCAAAGCTGGGTGTCTTTTTCACAATTGTTCATGTTGGTCATTCACCTTATAAAGGCAGGGCTAAAATCAGAGGTTGAGTTAAAGGTGCACATCTGAGGGTGAACTAATTGAAGAGCGAGACGAGAGAAGCAGCATTCACAACTCAAGGCAGCATCATACGTAAAATCCAGAGAAGTAAGTACCATCATGTTCAGTCTGTTGGTGTGTGGAAAAATGACTTTAAGGAATTATTCAGATTTATTTTTGGTAGTTTCATCAGCTGTTAATCAAGTTTTTTTCTTTCTCTGTTGGACTTTAAGTTACATTTTAAATTGGAATTGACTTATCTTGATCAAGTAAGAAAACATATTTTCTCTTTTAGATGCAACAGCAACTTAAGATGCTTCTGACAATCCTCATACCCCTCCTGCTCATCGGTAAGTAAAACATGTTGTGCATTGCAACTTTTTTTGGAAAGGGAAACAGTCCTCTCTTTTATTGTTGTTTTATCTCTATTTTATTAAAAGCATCAGCACATGCTCAAATTGCGGCACCTGCAGCCACCCCCACCATTGCAGCCACCCCCACCATTGCAGCCACCCCCACCGCTGCAGCCACCCCCACCGCTGCAGCCACCCCCACCGCTGCAGCCACCCCCACCGCTGCAGCCACCCCCACCGCTGCAGCAGCTACAACTGCAGCTACGACCATCGCAGCTACGACCATCGCAGCTACAACGACGACCAACACCACCAACACTGCTGCTGCTGCTGCTGCTGCACATGCCCCCCTCAGCTGTCTGGTTGTGTGTCACCTCAGCATCATGCTCTACAAGTTCCTCTTTATAGTGTGACTGGGTAGAGATGCCTTTAGTTCACAGAGCACAGGCACCACATCGTATGTCATTGATGGTGAAATGAACAACCTCATAATCATTTTATGAAGCACTTATGTTGATAGGTTTAGAAAATCTAGATGATCCAGTGTGATGAAATGTTAAGAATTAAAGGTTGTTCAAATCTAAATATCTCAGTTTGTTTATTGTCATCAAAGTCACAATTTGTTTTTGAAAGCTTTCCCTGTTCTGTCACAGGCACTTTCTTCTTACTTTTTTTTCACACTTTTAACTGTTTTCTTGAAATCCTGTATGAAGTGAACAGAAATGAACGATACATGTAATATATAGAGTAAAAAAACGATTTAAAGAAGAAATTGCTGATCATTTTCAGATATTGTAATTTGTTTTCAGTTTATATCCAAAAAACAAATTATTATGGTGTGACCGACTATTGATCACACCTTAAAGTTATCTTTTGGATAAAATACAACTCATCTTGTTTTATATTCATGTATATTTTATGACGCAATCAAGATTTGATATACAAACTTTATATTTAACTTAATGCATGGAACTTTCCACATTAGTCTTTTCTTCTAATGCGTGTTTTAATAATTAGACAGGGAGAAAGGCTTCAGATTTATGGTTTTAAATGTGTTCTAGGTGTGTCACATTCATCATAGTGACTTGTTGAGTCTGAGTCAATTTGCCAAAGGACACCGCTTCACACACACCAAACAGATGCACCTTGTCTTCTTTACAAATGGGGGACATTAATAAACTACGAAGTGTGCAATGAACAAGAATAGGTCCTGGCAGCTAAACCTACTACAGTATGGACCCAAAGTCTAACCATATCTCCTTAATTATATCTCAATTATAATTGGAATAGATTCCCATTTAACCAATATGTCGACTCGTGTGCTGTTTTGCTTGTGATTTTTATCTAAACTTTAAGTTTATTCACCTAAACAAAATCATGGCTGATTTACAGACACCTCTTATCCAATATAGGTCTACGAAATTAAACATTTGTGGGCCGAACGGCATCATGCAACAGATAGAAGTCAACCCCAACTACACACCTGTCGAATTCCCTCCCAGACCACCTGAGGACTCCACAGACCACTGACACCTTCAAGAAAGGCTTAAAAACCTTTCTTTTAAAAAAAGCTTTTGATTAAACTTTTGTTTATTTTGTTTGTTTTTATTATGCCTCCTGTAGCACCTTGGGATTGCTGTGAGCAATGAAAGGTGCTTTATAAATCGAATTTTTTATTATTATTATCAAATGTTATGACTGCATCTTGCACTATTGTCACACATTTGCATTGACAACAGCTGTCCGGGTGCAAAAGAGTTTAAAACTACCTGCTAAGGTAGACTACAGGTTTTGTAAGTATAATGCTCTTTGTGTTACTTTGAGTAAACCACCCAACGAAATTAGAAAGTCTGCTTCTTATTTAAAGTGGAGCACCATCGATTGCATTCATGAAGGGAGAAGTATTGAAAGCCAAAACGTAAGTATATAAAATATACAGGTGAATAGTGGTACACTTGGCTTTCCATAGAGAAGCTATGAATACAATTGCCAACGTTTAATGAAGCTTTTAATGGCTCAGCTCATGAGTCAGGTGGGTCAAATTAAAAGTCTTTGGGCATGTGGAGTTATAAAGTGAGCTTACCAGTCCTCTTCAGCCCGCACCTCCTCTCTGCTTCAGGCTACATTAGCCGCTGTCACCTGAAACACACCTGTCCTGGATCTCCGACTGTCGAGGTGGGCACTGGGCAGTCGAGTTGCATTGTGGGTAATGTGGACGCCAGGTTTAGACAGATAACTAATAATGCATGGGTTAACTAAAATATATCTGCTTCTGCTGGTATTTTCTTAAATATCCGTTATGAAGGTGTTTATATACAATGTGTACTTTATGATTCAACCACAATTTAATATAAGGCTTGGGATGTTAAAGGACAGTGTAACTAGAATTTCCACACCATGTTAAAATATGTCTTTTGAGGGTTGCAATTATCTTTCTGTCTTTCTAAGGGGTGCTTCGACATATAGAGCATGAAAAATCATAAGAAAGTGTAATTGTGGTTATCATGTAGACTAGTCTATGAGAGTTGGACTTACGATGTGTAACCACAAGGTGGAGGTATAACACAAATATTTAGGGATAGCTGGTCGACTTGACAATTCCCAAGCTAAATATTTATCAAACCTCAGAACACATTTATGATGAGCAGTTGATAATTACATTTGTACAACAGAAATATACTGTGTAACATGTATGAGATAACATCAACTTTTATATCCAAGGCAATACATATCTTCAAATCATTCCCAGGGTATAATGTTTTGAGTGTATGCAAGGAAAAACACTCAAATGTTTCCAAAACCTGGAGATTTTTATTTACAGTTCAAGTCAGTTACATGCAACATTTTTCTTAAAATGAATAAAGATGAAATTAGCAAAAACAATAAAAAGAAAAATGCATATTATTTTCTCCAAAATAGCAATATACAAAAATAGAGCTTACAAATACTGTACAGCAATTGTCTCGAAAAATATTCTGCTGCAGAATTCTTAGTTTTTACAAACAATGTCTGTGAGAGTCCACAAACATATCAGTGTTAACAAAAAGGTGTGTGTGTGTGTGTGGGGGGGGGGGGGGGGGGGGGGGGGGGGGGGGGGGCACTACAAGAGTTTCAGAGGAATAAATAACACACAATAAAAACAGGAGGAAAGTTCACTTCAGGGAGGCAGTGATAGAGATTACAAATACTAAATGGTCTGGTCGCTAAAACCAACCATGGAAATATAATGAAAAACCTTGTCTATATTGTTTAATAAAACAGTAGAGGTTTGTCATTTTCTTCCAGAACATGGCTTTCTGAGGCCATCATTCTGACGCTTTCTACCCTGACTAAATGTTTTATGTGAAGCAGTGACGTCGTCTTTTAAAGGATTGTGACTGGTCTATTTATAATAGTGTTAACTCAGAAGCAGCGCTGACGTCAATTGTGAATCCAGAGGTGGGAAGCCTTTTAATGCTATCCAGTGGCAAGACTGGAATTTACTTGCGGTACCGAAGTGGGCCGGTCGAGAGTCCCGGGCTGATTTTTAGTCCCAGTCCGCCCCTGATGCTCTCTATATTCATGGCTGGCTCCCTTTGCTTTTTTTACGTGACAGAGACTCTCCCCGTCTCTTTTCCTTTCAAAATGTAAACCATCTTCATTATTGGCTAGGACTTGAAACCATAATCATTCCTTTTTTTGGTTGGCACTTTGATTTGAGTGGCATTAGGACGGCAAACAAGAAGGTAAAAGGGAAGTTCAGTTGGAAAGGCTATACGTGTTTACAATCAAACACAACACTTACTATGGCCAAATGGCAGGAAGTGCTCAGCTGCCATTTATTTCATATGAAGGAGCATCTTTTTTGCACCTTATTCATAAATACACTACTACTGACACTTGTCTACATACATTTAACAATGGTGATATCAGTGGCAACTTGACTATGCAAAAAAGCGTGCTTTCACAACTTTACATTCCAAGACAAAACTGTTTAAGACTTGTGTTACTCGCACTGAGCTACAAAAGATCTCATTGTTTGACATTTGACATTTTTGAGTTGTCAAAGGCCCAAGTAAATGTTGGTGTGTTTATAAACCAATCAGAATTCAAAAGTATAAGCCTGTTAAGTTGTATATTTTCCATCAGTTACGTTTCTTTTGTAACTCCAGAGCACAATGTTTAACTTGATCTAAATATTCTCTAATGTATTTCATACCTTTTTTTTTAAAAGTACAATTGTAACACATATCCGAGGTAATACACCATCTCATCATAGGTCCATCACTCTGACACACAGCTTTTTTTTTTTAAAGATCAGCACAATTACCTACAACCCATTTACCAGATGCAGCTAACAAAGGATGAGAACAAAAACAGAACTACAAAAGCTGGCGGGGTTCAGAGTTAATGTGCGGCTGGCACAAAAGAAAAAGCTCTCTGTACTGTACAGAAAGAGGGAGAGGCGAAAGCACCAGAATGCTGCAGCCAAAAAGCACTACTACCCTTTTTATATGTCTGTGTGTGAGTGTGTGTGTGTGCATGAATGAAAATGCTGCTTCATTAAAACCTGCTGACAAATGACTGTGGCAGCTCGAGTGTGTGTGTGGGTTACAAATAGTGTTTATCTTGACCAACAGATATGCTGATGATCTGCTGAGGGCAGTAATTCTGATGCAGGTATCATTCTGCAAACTCAAACACATGCAGCAGCTATGCAGCTGTACCAAGAAATTGCAATAAATAAAATACAAAAATACATATAATATATTGGGAGAGATACAAAAAAGAAAACTGCATCTATGTATGCAGCACATTTTAAGTAGGAGCTGAATCGGCAGTGTCTGCTTCATCATGGTCTCTAATGAATTGGGTTATCAATAATTTCTTTTTCTGGAGATGTGATGCAAATTTGAGATAAATCAACTTGACATGCCTGCCATTTGTTGTTTTGTGAAGTGTCTCCTTTATCTGAAGCATGTTACTGTAACATTAACACAGCACATCTTCAATAAAGTCAAATATTGCAGCAGCAGAGCAAAATGAAACCGGAACATTAATGTTACACGTTGTAGATCTTTGTATAATATTGCCTCATTAATGTTTTTTTCTTCTGTGGAACAGTTTTGTGGATAAAGCACCAGTTTTTACCCACTAATACTTGTTTAGATAATCACAGTTGTTAAAGCAGTTACATCGAACTGTGATTTCTGTTGGAGAGGCATGATTATTTTTCTGAGTAATGCATGGGGTGACTACATATAGCCTGTGCCTAACAGCACTTGTATATATCGGATGTTACCTGGTGAATTCCTTTAATGAAAATACAATTTGTTTACGGTTCTTCCTGTTTAAATTAATAATAAAAATATACAGTCACATTGTAAAAAACGACAAACAGGCGATGAGGGAACGAGTTCAATAGGCTTCGCGTGAGTTCTGGTTTTCAACACATTCAAACCGTTTCACATTTGTAAAGGTTGCTTTGCGTCTAATTTCTTATGTGTGTTTTTGCAATTACAGCTGAAAGCATTGTTTCCTGACATCTATTTACTGATATAGGTATTGTTGTCCCTTTGAGATTTGTTGTATAATTTACAAAATTAAAATTAAAACCCATAAGGCTCTGTACAATAAAAATAATAGTTAATGATAAAATATAAAACACAACCTTGCTTCTAGGTTCACAAGCAATTAAGGTTTGCCTTCTTGTAAAGTGCTTGCTAAAAATAATCAAACATTTCATATATTTTAGTGTATTGTAGTTCTTGGCTTTTGTTTTTTGTCCTCCTGGTCTTTAGCTGGTGTCCCCAGAAAAGTGCTTTGGTTGAGAAAAGTTATCGACCACATCTTGGCCAAGAAGTAAACCTCTTCTAGATCAACTCTTCTTCATTGTCCGCAAAAGAAAAAACATGAAAACGGTTGATAACCAGTCAGATCTGATATCAGGAAATCCTTTTTTGGAAACCAATGCAAGGATAGGAGCGGTGGCGATGGCAGCTTTTGTGTCTGCGCATGAACTCCAGTTTCTCCTCTCTGTCCACGGACTCATAGTGATGTGTAACTGTACAGGCGAGGGTGTGAATGATGGGGTGTGTGTCTGTGTATGTGTGTGTGTGTGTGTAGTGTGCTATGAGAGAGTCTGCTAGACCAGGTTCTCGATGCCGGGTAGAGGCTGCTGTATGGGCACAGGGGGCTCCGTGCTGCTGGCCTGCTGGGCGAGCTGCAGGACCGGCATGTTGCACAGCGGGCACACTTTCCTCACCTCCAACCACTTAATGAGACACCTGGAGGAAAACAGACAGTGAGCATACGGTTAAGGCAAAAACACGAGAGAGATAAGGGAAGAAGTACAGAAAGACTGGTTAGGTTGACTCACAAAGGTTACTCAAAGTCACTGCTGAAGCCTTTATATCATGACAATAATATTATAAAGGCCATAGGACATAAACTACAACAATGAATATGTACAACTGCTAATGAGCTTGGCAAGCTTGTGTGTAAGGTAAAAATCATATTTTGCCATAATTCAATGTATTATTATATCTGTTCTTCAGGATGAATTTAGCTTATCATAAACATACCGTTTAGTAGGCAAACACACATTGCGGTAAAGAAATGGAAAATACATGTTTGTGATGATTTAGTAACAGTGCACATAGACTATTGGCCATGCACACACTGCGGCTAAATATATTCAACGTAAACGAAGTGTGGCAATCACATTGTACAACAACACTGAATAACTGCATAAGGTCAAACATGGGGTCACAGACAGCTTCATTATTGTGAGATTGTTCTGCGCTCCAGCTGTGTGTGGACTCTCACTGAGACAGAGGCAGGGGCTGTGCAGTTTCACAGAATGATCGAGTCTGGTAGTCTATATTGCAGTTGCACCCAGCAGTTCTCTGATCTGAAAGTAACTTAAATGTTGTAAACATTGGAAAACACTGAACAAGCAGTCAATTAACTCAGTCAATGCAGCCAAACTGCAAAACATTGTCTGGTTCCAGCTCTACTAATGTGTGTTTTGCGTTGATTATCTTTGGTTTTTGAACTGTTGACCAGTCAATACAAGACATTTGGTCTACATCTGAATAGGTAGCTTTCACTATTTTCTGACAATTATAGATATAATGATTGATCCAGTACTTGAAAAGAGATAATAATAAGATAGCATGCTCTTCACCGCTGATGTTTTTGTTCATGGTCTGCTTTCCCCCTCTAAAGCAGCATGGCTTTACTTGTGCACACACTAAAGGATTGTTTATCCAGTGGATTCAGTGAGTTGTGACCACTCCTGCTGCAACTGGGGGGAAACTAGGCCAAGGGAGGTGTCGTGCTGATAAACAACAGAGTTTCAATGGTCAGGGCGCGGGGGAAGGTGTGTGTGTGTCCTGGGTTGCCCCACACGTCTACACAGTTGGCTTTAGTTTTATGTACAAATATACATAACGATTAACTCTTTGTTATTGTCGTCACCTACATGCACTGCATCCAAAATAACTTCACTCAAGTGTCTGAACATGTTTTAAAAGGTCACCTATTATGCAAAATCCAATTTGTCATGTCTTTTATACATAAACATGTTTCCCCTCTGTGTAAAGAGATTCTGAAAGTTTCAGGAAAAAAGATTCACCCTCTTTTTATCCTGATCGATTAATATAAAAACCTGTCTGAAAATGAGCTGATCAGATTTTGGCCACTTTATGATGTCATAACGGTTTTTTGGCTTGTGTAATGGCCAATAACCAACCAAGGTAACCCCCCCACCTTATCACCTGAATCTCCTCCTAGAGCACCATTAGGCGCTTTCACACCAAGTACTTTCCCCAGGAATAGTTCCAGGAACTTTTATTTCCTGGAACTATCTAGTAAATCGCGTTCACACCGGAATAAGTCCCTGAGGGAGCCGCTGACGTCACTTCTTCTTCTTCTTCTTCTTCTTCTTCTTCGGGTTTACTGGCAGGCCGCAAATAACTTCACGGCGTACACTGCTACCCGAAGTCCCTGGCCGGAAGTCCCCGGCGTTGGGGACTGGCTTCAGTAGAAGCATGCTTGGAGTCTTCCCAGCAGCTTCTAGTAAATCGCCAGTAAATTGCCAGAAGCGCCGACACCTACTCATCACTCCACCGCTCCCATGTTTTCTTTTGTGTTGCCATAAATTAGTCTCTCTCCGTTGGTACACTGGGCTAATGCTAATGCTAATAGTGATAATGCGAGCAAATAAAATGGCGGCTTCACAAAACCTTTCAGAGTTTTACGGGGCGTGGTTTGCAATTCGCCCAGCCAATCAGAAAATGGAACCTTTTTCTCCCCAGGAAAGTCCCTGCTCTCTAGCAGGGACTAAAAAGGGTGAAAAGGTTAGCAAAAAAAAGTTCTAGTTCCAGATCTTTTTGGTGTGAACGCAAAATCCCAGGAACTATCGGAACTATTCCTGGGAAAAGTACTCCGGTGTGAAAGCGCCTAATGTGTTATTTTTAACCAAATATCTCTCAAAAGGACGTCTAAAGTCTAAAGTAACAGACACAGAATCAGCACTTTTGAAACAGGGCTGAAACAGAGGGGTTTATGGGATGCTACAATGCATGATCTGTTTGGTATTTCGAGCAAAACAGTTCAGAGACATGTTTTGTATATATCTGAGACCTATAATATATTGATGAAAAACAGTATTATAGGGGACCTTTAATATGTCTATTGACAACGACTTACTGTGTCACGGTTCAAATGCTTAAGGGTGGGTAAAATGGTATGAACATGTCGAAATCTGCACCTTTCCACATGTCCTTGACTTATGTTTGTGCATTTGTGTGTTTACATGAGTGTTAACAAAACCTCATACTTACTTCCTATGAAAGGCATGTTTGCATGGACAAATCCCCAGCTCGTCTTTCTGCTTGAACTCCTCTAAGCACACCGCGCAAATCTGAAAGGAAGAGGGGGCCGTTAGAGATGTTTTATAAGGGGGGGACAATGCAACATTTTAGATTTGTTGGTTGACTGCTGTTCGTTCCTTCAAGTCTTAATCTGAACTATGTGTTGGTGTATGAAAGCAAAGGTCAAGCGCTCATGAAAAAGACAACTGTGGCCAACATCTGCAAACAATTTACACAAAAAACAGAGCAGTAACTGATCCACTGTGTTCTGTTACATAACTCGCACTAAACTCACACTGGGGATTGGTTCAGTTGCTGGTCAGAGACTTCCTTGAGAGAGGCTTCCCTTAAAATAAATGATTCCTCCGTTTAACAGAAAATCTGTAAAAACACTGCGATGTGAAACTTTCTTTCCCCCAGCTTTTGCTTTTCAAGGTACAGAGCTAAGGAAGCCTGAAAGATATAAAGAAACAGCCATACAAGTGGACCCGCACCCCAGAGGGACTATTATGGCGCGTTTCCACTGCAGCGGGTAGCCCCGTTTAAGCGTCCTTAACCGTCCTCAAGCGGCCAGGCCGGTTTTTGGTGGCGTTTCCATAAAGCCTAGTACCGGCCAGCGGGTACTTTTTCCCTCTTTTTCCGGCCCCATAAAATCGTGGTTCCGTCAGACCAGGGCCATGCAGGGCTGAACTAGTGACGTCAACACTCTCGACTGCTGATTGGTCAGAGAGAATCGTCACAAGATTGGGCGCGAGTTCATCCCTAGCGTCGCATATATATATCTAGAAGCAAGCTTGCAGCATTTTTATACACAGCATTTTGTAAACAGATGAGCTACAAAAATGGCTACGTCTAATAAGAAAAGCACACCGTGGTCGACCGAGGAGGTGACGACGTTCCTACATCTCATTGGGGATGATCAAATCCAGCGGGAGCTTGACGGAACAACTCGAAATGTGAACAAAAACAAAGCCGATCGCCCCGCCTACACTGCGTTGCTACCCCAGGTCCTAAACTGTAATGGAAATGCGCCACGGCCTGGGCCGGACAGCGAGGCAGCCCGAGGCTAGAGCGAGGACGCTTAGGGACGCTTAAACGGGGCTACCCCGCTGCAGTGGAAACGCGCCATTAGACCAGTGGTTCCCAACCTGGGGGGCGTGCCCCCCTTGGGGGTGCGCCAAAGATCGCAGGGGGGGCGACAGGCCTCAGATGATTTGAGGCCAAATATCATATTTAGACTTTTTTTATTTTTTATTTTTACATATAATTGTAAGGCAATACATGATTGTCACTAAAAGCCTTGTCTCTACATTACAATAACATATACAAAATAATTGATTAATTAATTTTAATAAAAATTCAAGTTAGTAGCTAATAAAGGCATAAAAAGACAGAAATGTATAATTCTTTCTATAGAAATGTTTCTTCTGCCTGTAAAGTTTCCAAACCGGGCTTTTCTTGGATAAGCGCATTTTTAAAATATAGTCATTGTCCATGCCGGTTTCAGTTGGATTATTCGTCACAGTTGCTCTGATCAGATCGGTCTCCTCCATTTTGTCGATTATTTACGACTTTTGAATCCACATAAACACATCGGCAAAATCCGGCTTACTTTGAGCATGTGTTTTAAACAGTTTAATCCCTTTGTGAATTGTTTCCACTTCCACGCCGTCCTTTAATTTCTTCATTCAGCGGGAATCCAAATGAATGAATCCTGAGTCCAATAACCATCAAAGTCACTCCAATAGTGCTCCTTAATTACGCTTTCATCCTCCTTTAACAAAATACTTCACATTCATCCAGTTTGTGACAGTAGTTGTAGCATTTTGAGACTTTTCAACTTTAAATACCGCTGCTGTTGTGTGTGTGTGGGGGGGGGGTGCAACTTCCAACAGGAGTCATTTGGGGGGGCTCTTGGGAAAAAAGGTTGGGAACCCCTGTATTAGACCATATCAAAACCTAATCTTTGGAAGAAAAACAAACATGTTTTCATGGGCTATGTAGCCCGATTCTACCATCTAATGATCTCAGCTCCGTTAGCAATAGCTTCTGTCATATTAGATAAAACAAGTCAGTGATAACAGAAGTCCTTTATCTCTCACTGGTGTCCTGTGACAGAGGCAATTCTGAAGGACAGGTTGGAGTTGTTCTTCATCATTTTTTGTTTGTTTAAACACACACATGCGCAACTGTTCACCAGGCATGATGCCACAAGTCATGATCTGCCAGATAGCATTAGCTTAATGTTTTGGCTGTATGTGACAGGGTCATTCGAGCTAAATCTACAGTAAAATATGTGAGGGATTGTTCATCTTTTTCAGTGCATCCTGGGTGTCATCCAGGGTGAATACTTTCCATTTTGACATACATTACATGTTACTTGTTAGACGCTTTTATCCAAAGCGACTTACATACTCAATACTGTGGGAAATCCCCCACAGGAGCAATTTGAGGTGAAGTGTCTTGCCCAGGGACACAACGACATGCTGACTGCAGTGGGGTTTGAACCTGTGACCCCCTGATCCGAACACCAAGGCTCTACCCACTGTTTTCCCATCACAATCTAGAGCATAGGTCAGGGTTGGCAATAATCAAACCTCCCAGAGAAACTCATTATTGGCTGGTAAAAAGAAGCAACTGGCATCTGACTACACTCTCCAGACCACCATTGGACTAGCATTGATAGGACAAACAGCGCAAATTGAACTGGACATTTCAAATCTTAAGAAACTGGGCAAAGAATAAGCCCACAAAGTATTTCTATCACAAAACTTCACCCAACCCGTGGGTAACATTTCCAAAAAAAGAGTTTTAATCTGGCAGTCTAACCCTGTGACTGTTAACCCTTTAGCCACACAGAATATATTTTATCAGCTCTACATTATAGAGGTGGATGGATAAGGAGGGATGAAAAGAACAGCATGGGGGCTCTGAGCTTTGTCTCTTGATGAAAGTTAGACACAGAACAATCCTCTCTTATGTTGTCTATCTTTCTCTTTTTACACGTGAAAAGATCAATGTTTTTGTTCCTTTCAGTGCCTTGTCTACGGTGTCACTCTCACAGTTGGGATCTGGCAACCTTCCCAAACTTTTGACAAAATCTCTTTCTCCCTATTAACTGAATGAACCCTGTAAGAGTAATTCAATGCAAAACAGATGGGCTTGTGGGAAAAAAACATTACCATAGCAAGTGGGTATTAGGACCAACACACCCTCTTCCTGTAATAGTGAGGAGGCATCTTTTGCATCACCTCTAATATTTGCATTATCTTTACACACCTTTCTAAAATATGATCAAATAATGTAACCATAACAGATACTGACTTTTAATATAGATTGAATTAAGTTATAGTTTAATACCAGGTATAGTTTTATGTTTATCAAAAGTTATCACGTCCTTCTCCATCTAGAGCAGTTTGTCCCAGCAGTCGATTACATACTGATTTGAATACAAGGCAAACCACAATCTCACTCACAGAACAATCAGTCGACTGCCATCCCATAGACAACAGGTTTTACTTGCTGTTTTATGGCGGGTCCGTTTTTTCTTGCATAGGCTAACTATTAGCTCACATTTCTGTACATTTGATTGTAAAAATAATAAAAAATGAAAGATATTAGATGGTTTTGCATTATGTTTTTCTTCACACATCATATTGTATGCGGTATTCTTTGATATATGAGACAGAGTGGTTTAAAGTCATACTACAAAAAGGATAACTGATCAGGTTTCACATCAAACAACCTTGAACATGAGTTGCCCAGTAAGCTGATCCCATATTAGCACTCTCACTCAAATATTCCATACAAATGCAGAGATTGAATTCATGCATCTTAGCCAATAATCGTGTATCCAGGGTGATCCTTTGGCGTGGGAGCCTTCAAAACTAGGTAATCCACCTCGGCTAGTGTGTGTGTGTGTGTGTGTGTGTGTGTGTGTGTGTGTGTGTGTGTTGTTTTTAAACAAATACAGCTTGGACATTGTGTCACAGTCTTCACTCGTATGACACCTTCCAATGTTTTCTCTAAAAACATAAACAGCGCAAGCGGCCGGATGAAACAGTGGGAAGTTACAACACTGATGACAAGAAAGTGTGTTTAGCCACGTGTCAAAGCCCACACGAAGATGCTATTGTTAACGTTTCATTTGCACTTCAGTGTTAAAGAGAGGGTGTTCCTGGATGCAAAGTCAGTGTGGGTGCAAGTTTTCACAAGACAGTGAAGACTGATTTACTGAATGTTAAATTACTAATAATGTTTATTTGATCACTGTTGACAAACTAGACACAACCCAGAAACTATATAAACCCAGTAGACCTACAGATAGCCAGAACATTACCATGAGTCCTTACTTTTTTAGAATTGTATTGTCAGAGCCAAGAGGTTTATGTTCATAATGTCAGCATGAATGCACCTTCTAGAGTCCCAGGGCTTAGCCTTTTATTTCAAATCAATGGAGAGCACAGTGCATTACGGCACAACCATCACTAATGCATAACCAAGAGCAGCAAAGTACAGAGAGGAAGACCTTTTGACAAAAGTATTGTTCAAATCAAGAGGAATGTGACTGGACAGATCGAAATAACTGATAAAATTGCACATTGTGAACTTGAAGGTTCCATTACAGAATGTACTGTACACTAGATAGTAAGAGATCAGTTCATAATAACGTAAGAAAGAAGATGAGTGCTTACCTCATGCAAATTTAGCTCTTTTACTTTTTCCTTCTGAATGACCTGAGAGGCACAGTGAGAGATAAGAGCAGATTAGGTTATCTGGGAATACAATAAAAGAGAGTGTAATTAAAAAACAGGTTAAAAAAGAGAATCAGAGATACTGTGTGTTATAATAATTCACAATATAGTCTTACAGTAAATGCATATGCACAAAGGTGTGTGTGTGTGTGTGTGTGTGTGTGTGTGTGTGTGTGTGTATAATATGAGCTTGGTAACCTTATAACCCACAGAGAAGCTGGACCCATTACTCTTTTTAGCTGGCAGGTAGTTAGTTAATGGTCACCAGAGTGTTTGACTTTAACATGTTGGGTTTTTCTGCATGCTTGTATTACATAATTAAAGAACAGGGGAGTGTCTATACCCTCCATCACTCCAGCTGTGAAACCTGATTTTTCCGGCTGAGCCACTTGCTTCCCTTCAGCTTGAGTGCAGTTTGGAATTTTTTGAAAGCATACTTGTGCTCGCCGAACAAACTCTAAATATTGAAATGGTCTAGATCCATTAATAAGCATAAACCTCAAAAATACCTGCAGTCACCAGAAGAGTTATGCACCAGCTGAACTGACATTTTAAGGACCAGAGGGTATCTTCTTGATTTTACTAGACACATGCTCCCAAAACCGCATTACTGCTGGGCATTACATTTTGAATAATTTTATTATCTGAAGTGTGTGTGTGTGTGTGTGTGTGTGTGTGTGTGTGTGTGTGTGTGTGTGTGTGTGTGTGTGTGTGTGTGTGTGTGTGTGTGTGTGTGTGTGTAGTTGGAATGCTTACTTGTTTGTATGCATAAAGCTCTTTGTGCGCCTGGTGCCGTAACCTGGGGAGACGGAAAGACAAAACATCTTGTTTGATGAGGAAGGGGTTTTACAACAGACCAGGTCAGTTAGAGTTTCATACATGTCAAATCCTGGAAGAAGAGAGAGACATTAGTCAGGTGAAAAAAATACTGACTAAATAAAGATTACATTGGAATAACTAGTTTCAGTAAGGAGTGCAAATTGACCACATTACTGAAAACCTCTAGCTATGTGTTCAAGTTACATATTAGCAGATGTCATTCATAGAAGACCTTAGGCCAGTGTCAAACCGAACACCAAACATTAAGTTAAATATAACCAATACAACCAATGTTAAAGGTTTATATCCAACTGTTGGTGTAACTCTTTGTTATCATCGCTCTTGCAAATGAGCAAACACAAAACAACTCAATCCAAATAGAGAACAGAAAGAGTACTGTGTAAGAAGATAATCTATGTACTGAGGATAATAATAAAATATGTAGAAAAAAGGGGAGAAAACAACAGAGATAGGAGAAATTCATAGGTTTGTAAGATTTACCTCCATTACAAGTAACCTTAACCTCTCGCAGCAGAGTGAGAGGGATCTGTAAAACAAGCAGCACAGTCTAGGAGAGAAACTGACATTTTAAAGAAGTCAGCAGGAAAAGGTGCAGAGACTCCTAAGGGTCGAGGACAACTGGTCATGGGTTAGGGGGTCGTGGGTGACTGATGGGGCCATTAAGTGCAATGTCAAAGTGTGAGAGGAGAATAACCAGCTGACTAACTAAAAACAGGTGGTCAACTTTGACCCCCCTCTTAAAGCTGAATTATCATAATTCACCTGCATTTAATATGGAACTCAAAATCTAATATATGTATGATAGCCATCAATTTAAATGAAACATGTCCAAATGGTCTACCTTGTGGTATGTCACCAAACATTCACGAACACTAAATACATGTTAAAAGTTACTTAATAAAATGTTTGGGCCATGATCATGATTTCAGCATTCAATGCCTCAAGTCTTTAAGACTTTGAGATAAAAATGCCCTTACGAAATACTTAAAATATATATTTTGTATTTATTAAAGATGTATACACCATTGCATATTTCACATATGTGTGTGTGAACTGAATACTCACTGATAGAGAAGCTTGAGTTCCTCTGTGAGAGTCTGCCTTGTGTCAAACTATATGTGAGTGTTGGTCACATGTCAATGCTAACGTTAATTCCTTATCATTCACCTCTCAATGTAAACAAGAGCCACATGAACTGCATAGAAACCCTACGATTTCATGGCAGGCATTGACGTTTAATTCAACTATTGCCAATTTGTAAAAGTAGTGGCTTAAAATGAATTGTACAGTCGTCATGCATGATGGTGCATATCATTTCAGTCATTTGGGGCCAGTCCTTTTGGATTTGGCTCCATAAAATGCATCTAATGGCGCATTTCCACTGCAGCGGGTAGCCCCGTTTAAGCGTCCTTAACCGTCCTCAAGCGGCCAGGCCAGTTTTTGGTGGCCTTTCCATATAGCATAGCACCGGCTAGCGGGTACTTTTTCCGGCCCCATAAAATCGTGGTTCTATCAGGCCAGGGCCATGCAGGGCTGAACTAGTGACGTCAACACTCTCGACTGCTGATTGGTCAGAGAGAATCGTCACAAGATTGCGCGCGAGTTCATCCCTAGCGTCGCATATATATCTAGAAGCAAGCTTGCAGCATTTTTATACACAGCATTTTTGTAAACGGAGGAGCTACAAAAATGGCAACGTCAAAGAAAAGCACACCGTGGTCGACCGAGGAGGTGACGACGTTCCTACATCTCATTGGGGATGATAAAATCCAGCGGGAGCTCGACGGGAGCCCCGCCTACACTGCGTTGCTACCCCAGGTCCTAAACTGTAATGGAAATGCGCCACGGCCTCAGACGGCCAGCGAGGCAGCCCGAGGCCTGAGCGAGGACGCTTAGGGACGCTTAAATGGGGCTACCCCGCTGCAGTGGAAATGTGCCGTTAGTGGCTGTTTTTGCCTTTAATCACTAAACCAGGCAATCTTGACTTTAGTTTTGAATCATGGTTCTAAATGAAAGTTATAGGGTTTTTGTTCACAGTTAGATGAGGAATCGTAGCAACAGTAGTAGTTAACCTACTTACCATTTTCCCTGCAACATAGGATATGGCAGGGTGGCGAGGGGTGCATTTTGTTGAGAACTGCTGCTTCTCACAGTCTTAGATAAAAAACGCTGGACATTGTTTATTTTCAGTTTGTTGCTGCCAGGAGAAAACCACTGCAGCAACGGCAGCCAGGACTCTTTGAAAAGACCAGTGGGGTTGAAAAGAGGGGCTCGGGAATGACCAGTAAAGTAGCTCCGCTATTCCTGAATAACTGGATTACACTCATGACTAAAAGCCTGAAAAAGGAGCTTTAACTAGATGAACGTTATTGATGACAAACAAGAGGTTTAAACTTGGCTTGTGCCATGATCCTGTAAAGTTATCAATTGTAGTATCATAGATACTTCCTCCAAACTGTGCTGTTGAAACATTGTGCCCTTGTGTAAAAAATATGATTAGTAAGACAAATGTAAAAACACACATTTCTAAAAAATAAAACAAAAATCCTTCAACCTCAACTGGAAGCCAAAGAAAAATGCCATACAGTTTGTGAATAAATCATATTCAGCATGCAGACAAGTTTAGCGCTGACCTTACAGCAATGTTTTTAATCATGTAGATCACTAGATTTATAGTTTCCATTAGTTTTAAGCAATTACAAAAAAAAACGTAGTGTTAATGCAAAGATAGCATGGATCTTACCTTATTAGGTAGCAGCAGAAGAGGAGGCTGAGGATGAAGACAAAGATGGCCGTCCCAAACACCACAATGTAGATATTGAGGGGAAGATTCTGAAACCCTATATTTGGCATCCTGAAACTGTAGTGCGGGAAATCGGAGCTCATGGATATTCTGGATGGAGAGAAATAAATGTCAAAAAGTTTATAAATATTTTGTTGGACTTTAACACACTCAGTAAGTGAGTGGAAAAAAACATGGCCCAATAATAATGTCAAACTGTAACTCAGGGTAAGTTAGTTCCACTTTCAAATTAGTTTTACTTTCAGTATTACATAAACAAGATGTGCAGGCTTTCTGCTGTCCTGATGTCAATGGGGAGCTCATTCCACCATTTTGGAGCCAGGATAGCAAACCCACGTGTTTTAGCTGATGGGAACTTGGGTCCCCCTCGCAGCGAGGGTGCAGCGAGTCTTTTGGCTGATGCAGAGCGTAGTGCACGCGCTGGGGTGTACGGTTTAACCATGTCCTGGATGGAGGAAGGGCCAGATCCATTCGCAGCATTACAACTGAATATTATGTGGATTTTGTGTAAGCAAGACATGCAAGGATGTATACTAGAAAGGTGCGAAGTACATTTGAGGTAGGTTTCTTCCCGCTGTGGCATCTGCTGACTCCGTCCTGATTTAACCCAGAAACCCGCAGACACTAAAAACACGAGTTATTCGCTAAAATACCACGGTATGTTATGGATAAATATGCCCTTTGGCCCTTTATTCCCGACACCCCTGACAATGAGTCAGTGGTCCTTCCTGCACAGCTGAATTGCAGTATTTGGCCAGATGCCAAAACCTCAGAATGTACCCTGAACGTCAACAGTGGATGTCTGTCGCAATACCTGCCATACTGTTACTTTAGACTCCGATATGTGAAAGTCTTATTGAGCTTTATACTTAACAGCCACCTTATATTTCACACATAAAGCATCAAAACCATAGACAGCGTTTTTGTAAAAAAACTGGTAAATAAAACAATGTTTATAAAGGCTATTGTGTAACATGTATTTGACAACATTGTGTAACAGCATATATAGCTTCCTGAAAAAGTGATTCATAAAAGCCAAGGCACACACAGGGTCTGTTGGTCAAGAGCTCTTACTCGATATACCAAAGGGACATGACTAGACATGTATCCGCCTACCGGAGCGGAGGAGGAGGAGAGGACAGGAATAACTTGGCTCCTTTGAGAACCCTCTCTTCTGCCCCTCCCCTTCACTAAACACCAAGAGCTCCATTCCTGTACACTTACTGGACAGTGGAAAGTTTTCAGAGTTTTGCTGAGGCCATTAACAATCCTCTCCTGCTTAATGATTACACCATGAGTGTATGCCACTGATACTTGCTCTCTTTTATATCACTTAGGTTTCTCAGAGTGAGGAACACTCTCAGCATTACCCTCAGAAGCCTCTGTATAACATTATTCCATCCAGTATCGGCTGTCATTATCTCAATGCAGAGTATCCCCGTAAAAGGGATAAACGTCATTTGCTGTGAAGATCACGTCTGTTTACGCTTAAACAAGGGAAGTTCTTTTGGTAATGATATGGCTCGTTATATTACCTTGATTGGTAATATTAGTAACTTCTGTAATTCAACATATGTTTACATGTCTAAATAACTACCGACCAAGCACTTACATATTTTATCCATGTATACAAAAACCTCTCACTGTACAGAACATACGCAGCCACTAGTATGCAGAAGAGAAAAAAAGCTGATGGTAAATGGCCCTAAAATGTTTCTATGGCTTCCTCTTAGTTCGAGACAGACAGCAGCTAAGACAAAAGATGGATGCCTTCAGTGTGGTGTGGATGACGCCAAGAGATTCAATGCCAATAAAATAGAAAAGGGAAGCCCAACCATTGCCAGGTAAAGTTGGCCACCTCCCAAAAGCGTGGTCCATTTCCTTTTACATTTCCAAACAGAACAGGGCATTTTAGATGTTGCTTTTGTGGCATGATTCTGTGTATATGTTGTCAACAATTGAATAAGCTGTAGATAAATCATGTAATGACGTCATTTTGACTTCTTTGTCCAAGTTTTAGGGCTGCTTGCCAAACTCCAGCCCTGCTTCTCCTTTGGCTTTCCCTTCAAGCAAAGTCAACAGACAACCTCCCTTTTTCTCAACACGCAGAGCTACATGCTACTCACATAAGCTACAAGCACCTCTGGAGATAGAACCACTGAAAACAATTGTTTTACTAGCAAACTACTGCTACTAGTCCACTAATACAGTTACTTAATAACATTTCAAATGCAGACTTTTCCATAGCTTTAGTTCAAAAAGACAGACTGGTGTTGATCTTGCAAGACCACTGACAACTAAATCATTATTGTTTTCCTGCAGACACACACATACCCAAGTGGCGCCTTCATGCTGAAGAGTAGAGATGTCTGCATAGATCTCTAACAGATGCCCTTGAGAAGTGACATAACCTGTACTTGAGAGCCTTGTCACTGGGTTGCCTCCTGTTTACTTATTTAGATCATAGCCCTTATTTGCCCCGACCGTTCATAAAGGCTCCATGCCAAATGCAAGCCTCGCTTCACCCTCTGACTCTCTCTAAACAGCCACAACAACCTTCCCCTGCTTATCTGAAGAAACAAACGTGCTGTGGAGCGATATGCTTTATACACGCACAAAAACGCTCCTCAGGGGAAATTTGAAAGCAACACAATGACAATCCTCCCTAAATAGTAGATAATTAAATAAGAACAGAGGCCTCTAAAGAGTAGCTGGAAATCACTTCTGTCCTTTCTATAATTTTGGCTTCAAACTTAGAACTTAACTTAGAAATTGTCCTTTTCAGCTGCAGCTCCTGTAGCCAGGGAGGTTAGCAAATGCTACCTACAGTAGGTGTGTAAAAGCAGGTCCAATTTGAGATGTGGATTAGCATATCAGCTTTAAATAGTCAGCTGTGGCTCGCCACCGGAGAGGGCATGCACCTCCAGTGAATTAGCAGCTAAAGCTACATAGTTTTCTCCTAGACATGCTTGATGGTGTATAAACATTGTTGATTCAACAACCTCAAGGAATGTGAAAGGCTCATTAGTTCCCCTTTTCTAGTAATCCAGTAAAGCTATTTCAAATCTTATCTTACTAAAAAACAGTGCATACATTGATACCTGCATTAATTTGCATGGAAAGAATAACATTTCAAAAGCTATACAGGGTTAGCCTGAATTAGAAATGTTGCTTCTGCTTGTGAGTTTTTTTTTTCTACAGTCATGCATCGTATTCATAATACAACAAATGTGTGATGTTTTTTCTTCAGAACATCTCACCAAGGAGGATTTTGGGAAATACATTAACTCTTTTCGCGCTTGACAGATGTTTAAAAACAACTTTACAGAGTGTTGTAAGCCAACACAACACTTAAATCTGCATAATTGTTAGCCAGTTGTGAAAAATGGCCTGCTCCCAAACATCCACTACCACAGCTTCCATGTAGCTTAAACATAACAGTTGCAAAGCTGCTAATTGCAACATCAAAATAACCCCATGCGAAATTCAGATAACATAACATGGTGTCAGGCCTTCCCATCATTGCTGTAAATCACAAAGTGTACATTAGTATTACATGGATGCTTGACATGGCCCTGATAATCCATATAATGTGGTGGTGCTATCAACGAGTAACATCTACACTGAACTATTCCTACAAACAAGTCAGCTACAGGACTGCTAAAACACTCGAACAAGAACAACTCCATCTTTACAGCTACGGAACAGACATGTAGCTCATTAAGCTAGTATGAGTTTAGGAGGGAGGAGTATTCAAAGCAGGTTTGACTTATTGAATGTCCTTCTTCAAAAGTAATCTGTTCTTAGGCTATCCTCTTCACTATGTGCACATACAGTATCAAGATTTGCTGATCCAGAGGACTTGGATAGATCAAGCTACCAGGAAATGTAACCCTTTCTCAGTAAACAACCCTTTTATCACTGATACTAAACACTAGACACTAAACAAATACGCAGTCCAAAATGTAATGTAAAAACTAAATGAGTGAACAGAGAATAAGTGCAAATGCTTCCATACAGGCGGTAAGGGAAAACTGAATGGATATGTTAGTATGATTTATTTGTGACCAATATGTAGACAGTGCTCCACTCTCATTATCAAAACATCAAATGAGTGAATTGACCAGTGGTGCTGGTCTATAAAGTAGGTCTATCCCGCGGCCCAGTGAAGCTCCTCTGGCAGGGAGTAGTTGCTCTACAACTTTCAGAGAAAATTAATTAAAAAACTACTCATAGTCAAAGCTTAGCAATTAGTCCTGCTTCCTGTTATTAAATAGCTTAAAGTGCATCTAAAAATACCTTGTTGCCCTCTCCCTCTTTGAAACTGAAGGGCCCGCTCAGGACGAGAGCCAAACGTGCACGCTTCACTGGCTGAAAAACTAACGGTTGAAGGGGGGATGTATATTTAAAATGCAATGGTAGTGAACATATTTAACATAGAGGATAATCCTATAAGAGACCAATAAGAAATCCTAAAATGTAATGACTTGGTATCAGTTATGGCGCTTTTCCACTGCAGGGCCTCGTTCGGCTTAGTACGGTATGGCTAGGCCTCGTTAGACCAAGCTCACTTTATGCTTTTTTCCATTACAGTTTAGGAACTGGGGCAGTAACTATACAGTAGTAACACAGTGTAGGCGGAGCCGTGACGTCATCTTCAATGCGAACCACAAAACCAACATCAGCCGTTAGCTGTTAGCCCTCACAGCTCCTCATATCTGTTCAGAAACTAGACAAAAGTTAAACAAGTACAAACCACAGACTGTCTGTGTCATGGCGAATACAGTCGCTGGTTTATTTATGTCTGTATAGGCCGTTGTTGTGAGTGTGGACGGTCGGAGCATATACAACGTTAGCTTAGAAAACACGCATTTTAAAAAGGTTTTTCGCCTGCCGTCTGTCTGCAGACTTGTCAAAGCATTGATTCATGGTTTTTACTAACCGGTATCAGCATGTTGTTACTTCGGCATCATTTTGAAACGTGTATTACAATTAAATCACGGTCAAATATGTTCATTTTGTTGTAGTTGCCAGCGATTCTCTCACTAGTTTGGCATACTCAGCCCGGTTGTTGGCCCGGAAAGAACCTC